TTACCTGCCATTCAAACCAAGAAAGCAAAAAGACTGTTTCCTTATTCCAAAGACTAAGCAGCACCAATATCTCTCTCTCTTTTTTTTTTTTTACAGTAACTCAATACCAACCTAATTTTTTTTTAATCAATTCTACCTGGATCAGGAATAAACTTCGGAGTGCCTAGCTGAAACACATACCTATAGCAAATGCTAGAAATCAATACACCTAGTTAAAGAACCCCCTAAGGGAAATGTGGCTGCACACAGCTGTGCAGTCGATCAATCTGTTACTGTGACACTCATCTCCAAAGTCACACGGGCTAACAGACAACAAAGGAGCTGGGGACGTCATGGTGCCAAGGTGCGACAGGCCTCACAGGGTCTGGCCATTGTCTTCACAAGGCCTTGGAATCACTCACCGGGAGCAGGATGACAACCTGAACACCATAAGCAAATGCTTCAGCTGCTTTCAGAAATTTATTCCACAAATATTACAGAATACACAATGTGCACAAGCAAAAATGGAGCTGCTGTCCTTTTAAAACAAAGTTCATAGGTATCAATCATAAAAGAAAACATAACGAAAATAGAAAAGTATCACTATTTAAATGCTAAAACAAACGTATTATGGACAGCATGACAGTATCCATTGAGGAAAGAAAACACAGCGATTCTGGAGAAAGCTGAAGAAAGGGTGAGAATGAAGTGTGCTGGCCCCTGTGAGCACGTGTCCTGGGGTGGGGAAGGTGGGCCTAAGTGCCTGCTCCAGGACAAGATGTTGCCTAGCCTGTAGCCTGAGGCAGAAGGCAACAGGCCAGTGTAACTGACAAAGACTACTTCATGAGCTCTAAAGAATAAGTAAGACAATTCCAGAGATGAGGAACACAGGAAGAAAGCACAGGTTAAACTTTATTTAGTGATGGAGTACTGGGGTCCACCATATCCAGATGTGGGGGGATAATGCAACAGTCATTCCTGCTTCCAGACGAAAAATGGATCCCCAATGAAACTGTGGGAAATGTGTAGACAATGGGATGCTCGACTGTCTGACACGGCCTGTCCCAGTAATGTCAGGGTGCACTTGAATAAGACTGATGGAATTGTGGTTCCTTATGAAGAACTATCCCATTGTGGTAAAATGGGGAAAATCTGTCGGGGAGGGTTGTGAGTTTGAGGGGAATCCTAGTCTATACGAAATTGTACCACATAATTTTAAAATTCAAAATACAAATTTAAAAAAAAACCTTACTTAAAAAGCCTAAATGGTATTCAATTTCTAAAACAAAACAACAACAACAACAAAATCCCCTCACACTTGCCAAAGTAAGCTGGAAATGTCACCCTCTGACGAAGCAGTACACGCACACACAATATTCTTTTTCTCCTCAAACTCTCCCTCTGAGCTCATCCTCCAAGCCACTTGGGGAGGCGTCCACAGCTTACACTTAAACTCAATTCAGGGCAAGTATTCGGCTCAGCAGTTACGACGCCATTTGAGATGACTGGTTCAAATTCCATCCAGCAGGCCCGGCGCGGTGGCGCAAGTGGTTAAGGTCCTCACCTTGCACACCCGGGATCCCATATGGGCGCCGGTTCTAATCCCGGCAGCCCCGCTTCCCTTCCAGCTCCCTGCCTGTGGCCCGGGAAAGCAGCAGAGGACGGCCCAAGGCTTTGGGACCCTGCACCCGCGTGGGAGACCCGGAAGAGGCTCCTGGCTTTGGATTGGCATAGCATCGGCCATTGCGCTCACTTGGGGAGTGAATCATTGGACGGAAGATCTTCCTCTCTGTCTCTCCTCTCTGTATATCCGCCTTTCCAATCAAAAAATAATAAAAATAAAATATTAAAAAAAAATTCCATCCAGCGTCACTTCCGATCCAACTTCCCATGAAGGTGCAGCATGGGAGGCAGGAGGTGCAAATACTAGAGCCCCACTGTTCATGAGGGAAAACGAGACTCCTGGCTTTCACCTGCTCACAGCATCTGGGAGGGAGCCAGCAGATCAAAGACAACTCTCTGCCTCCTCCAACACCTGTTTTCCCTCTACACCTGTGTAAGCATTCGTGCTGGGGTCTTTTTCAAGAAAAGTGAAAATAAAAAAATTTTAAAGACAAAATTCAAAAAGGAAATAATTTTAAAGTCTTTATCTATGCTTTATAACTTAAAGAAAAGAACATGAAGGATGTGATGCAGGCAGGAAAGCAGCAAGGAAGAGCTGTGACTGTCAGAACCCAAGCCACACTTGCACAGCCCAGATCCAGCCCATGCTGGGCTGATCCCACGCCCAGGCTGAGCACACAAGGGCCTGAGCCCACCAGATGCATGACCCCCTAGGGACCACCAAGTCTGCTGAGGCCCCCACAAACTCCACCTTTCTTTGAATATTCAATTAGGCCCTACCCCCAAATACCACCCTATCCATAAAAAGACAATCCAGAATTTTATGAACTGCAACACTCATTTTCTCCTGAGACTGTGCTCCTATCTGCGCACCTGCCCTGTGTTTGTAAACAAACCTCAGGTCCCTGCTCCTTCTTACCTACAGTTTTCCTAGAAGTTGTTGACTTGGAGGCAACAGCCTAAATATAGGCAGAACCCTTTCTCCAGCTACACATCCTCCATTCAAACCTACTGAAAAGAATGCCTCAGAACATTCTCTGGAGGCACAGAGAGTGTAAGATACAACCAAACACAGAATCTATGCAGCTGAGGAAGGATATAGTTTTTCATTACTAACAAAGAGCATCATTTTAGAGATTTCACAAAGAAAAATGCAGGCAGGCCGGCCGGGGGGGGGGGGGAACCAGCTCCTATCTAGGAATCTAATGATAGGCCTACTCTCCCTGGGATTTAGGAAATAAACAAGGGGGAAAAAAAAAAAAAAAAACAGTACCTAACTACCTGCATTTAGAAATAAGTTATCTGGAAAAGGTGATCCGGTGGTTTAATTTCAAATGCATCACCAAGAAGAATAAAGACAATCTCCATTCCTAAGAACATCTCCTAGCTGCTCCACTTCTGATCCAGCTCCCTGCCTATGGCCTGGAAAGCAGGGGACAGCCTTGTACCCACTAAGGAGACACAGAAAAAGCTCCTGGCTCCTGGCTCCTGGCTCCTGGCTTTGGCAGCTCAGTTGCAGCAACCTGGGGAGTCAACTAGCAGATGGAAAGTCTCTGTCTCTCCCTCTCTCTGTAAAATCTCCCTTTACAAATAAAATAAACCTTTTAAAACAAAAACAAACAAACAAAAAGCAGCCACTGGACCTGTCAGGGTACAAACCCCAGGCCGTGGACCTGTCCTCAAATGAAGCACTTCACAGCAAGCATGATGATCTGGTGCCATGGGCTTCCAACTAACCAGCTCTGATCTTTGTAACACATTTCTCAAATGTCCTGGATTTACTAAAACAATGTCTGCCTTCAGAAGCGCAGTTTTTCCCAAAGCACTTTATTAAGAACTGCTTTATAAACAAGCCCTTAGCAACCTCCAGCCACATCATCTCAGTCAGTAAGGGAGGACTTCCTGCCCTCCAGAAGATGCAGAACTCAACTTCTGTTATCTATCCAGCCCATTTCCTCCAGTAGAAACGAGTGACATGGTTCCATCACTGGGGGAAACATCAGGTGTTTTTCCACATGAAAGGGGTTTCTTGACCTGCAGGAGTTCTGAGACCCCAATGATGGACTGTCAGAGGGATGTGGTACGGGCAGCATCCCTCACACCGGCCACGCGTCCCCACTGGCATGAAAGCACAGATCCATGTGATGCAGGTGGCAAAAGTTGGGAATGAAAACCGCACAAAACTATCTGTGTGTCAGATATTTGTGTTGGGACAAAGGGAAACACATTATTTTCTTATTTTTAAGCTTTCATACTGTAACTTATGCTAGAACAAACTGACACACTGATTCTGTCTCATGATTTAGAACTAGATAGGCTCTTGGCAAGCAGTGTTGTTCAATCATAAACCAACAACACTGTAACTCAGAGACAACTACATCTGCACCTCACCAATCCTAAACTTCAACAATTTTATATCACGTGTCTTTCCAGTTAATGTTTAACCCAGAAATTGTATCATAAATATTAGTTTGTCTAATGTCAGTTATCTTTGGAAAATCAAAACTAGCTTCTTTGTATGGGTCAAAAATAAAACTGGAATTACATATGGAAGACGAAAGAGCTACAGCACTGCTCATTCAAATGACTGTACTCAGCCAGTAACACACCCTGCCGGAGTCTTCTCATGCCTTCTCAGAGAACATAAAACAGGATGCCTCTTCAGCTCAGAAGCTCATCACACCTCAGCACCGTAAGTAATTCAAACAAATGCTCTTGGCTAGTCTGACTAGATTAAGAAAAACCTCTGACTACACACAACATGGCAAATGAGGAAAGGTCCCAGGGTTCCAGCATCACTTGTTCTCCTGAGTCTCAGCAGAGAGCTGGGTCTGCCTCCCTCTGCGCAGAGCTGGAAATCTCAAGATGTTGACCAGTTAGCACATTTTCCAGCAACTCAAGCAAGTGCTGGTTTCATCCACTGTCATGCAACAGTGAGCTTGCAGCTCAACACCTTGGAAAAGGAGGCTGACAGGACTCACAGACAATGGACTAACAGTCATGGTCAAGACCTCTATAGCTTCCAGTCAAGCCTGTTCCAAGGCAGAACTTTCTGTCTCCAACAATCTGAAGGCTCAGCTCCTCTCTTGCATTTCCACTCAGCCAAACCATCCCAACCTAACTTGTGACGAAGGTAAAAGGCTAGGGTAAATTCAGAAAAGGGAGAAAAACCAAGTAGATAAAGGAGAGAGCCTGGTACTGCAAAAGGCAAGACAGGCCACAGGGGGCAAAGCCAACTGAGCCCACGTGGGCCATGTGCACTTACAGGACCGCTGCGCCCCAAGCTACCATCTGCCCCAAACATTCTATTCACTCCCAAAGCATAGACTGATTTCATCAAAGTACTGAGCCAATTCCTCACTCAAGCACCGTAAAGACCCAAACACAACGTTCCTTACCTCCTGGCCGGTAGACAACGTCATCCTCAGTGATGTAGGATGTTATCTCGCCAGTGTCCGTCCTTTCGTAGCGAGATTTTTTTTTCGGTGGCTTCTTCTTGTTCTTCTTGGTGGACTCTTCTGTGGTGGCACTGTTGTCATTGTCCTCGTCTTCACTGTGGTCACTCTCAGCGTAATTTTTGGCTCCTCCTTCCAAGGTGCAGCTCCGGCGGGGCCTCGAATTCTCGCTCTCCCGGGCTTTGTCTCTTTTCTCTCTCTCCCGGTCCCGGTCCCGGTCCCGGTCCTTCTCTTTGTCTTTGTCTTTGTCAGCTGTCATGATTCGCCACGTGCCTTCTTCTGTCCTCTCACGGCTAGGCCTCCGTGAAAGGTAGACAGTGAGCCTGGGCTTCAGTCTTCTGAATTTCTCACTCAATTCTAGGGAAAATACAACCACTCCAATCACCCCAACGCTTCAAAAATGCTAGGAAAGAAAAGAGGGGGGAAAATCAGTTTAACACTTCTTCAACTCTCTTCCTAAAATTATGTTTGTCAAGCCAGTCTCACATTGCCTCTTGCATTAGACCTAAAAACCCAGCACAAGTTGAGGGAAAAGGTAGAACAAGCACCAGAAAATTTCAATACACGCTCCTGCAGGTAACAATGGCTTGGGTTTTCATTGCACCAATAATGAAAAGAAAAACATTAAATGCTCCCAAGTGAACAATATAAACTGGAAGTAATTATACCAACCCACAGGCAGACTTAAAGAGGAACAAACCTATAGCAAAAATATGAGCCAAATAAAAAATAATTTAGTTAACTGTAGGAAAGATCCCAAGATATCAAATAGTGTACAGCTTCGGAAAATTCTTGATAACGAACTTCTCCAAAGCTCCAGAACTCCTTTAAGAATAAATAAGATTTAACTCGCTGGGTGCAGGAAGCCAATCCTTTGGTCCAGCTTCTTGCCACACCACTCCAAGCACAAAGCAGGAATCAGGGTCCCAGAAGCACCTCCCAGGGGCAGCGACTATTAGGTGGCTTTCACTGGCTTCCAAGTTTCCACAATTAATACCTTTCTTAATGAAACTCCTCCCCAGAATCAAACTGAAGAAGAAAGGTCAGAATTTTTAAAAGTTTGCCATGTGAAGAGTAAATCCCAAACTCCAACCCCACCAGAGTTCTTATAAAATCCAATAGTGGAGGCCAGCATGGTGGTATACTGAGTCACTTCCTGCAACAAAGACATTCTGTGTGGTACCAACCAGAGCACAAGCTGTTCCAACTTCCCATCCAACTCCCTGCAAATGCGCTTGGGAAACAGCAAGCTGAAGATGCCCCAAGTGCTAGGGGCCCTGCCACCAGCAATGGCAGACTCAGATGACACATCAGCTCCTGGCTTCAGCCGGGCCCAGCTCCGTCACTGTGGCCATGTGAGGCGTAAACCAGTGTAGCAAAGTCCTCAATCTCTCTCTCCCTCACACACATACATACATATAAGTAATTCTGTTTTTACAAAATTTAAAACAAACAATATTGCTAAAAGTTCTGTAGTGCTAGGAAGTGGTGTCTTGTTTGACAAGCCAGTTTTGGAACACCCAATATCCATTAATTCATATTTTGTCATCATCCCTGACAATCATATCTCACATTTCCAACAAATCCTGTCAAAGTGCCAGGTGCCTAGAATTAAAAATACAATGCCAGGAACATGTACTGTCCTCGCCTCCCACTGAAATGCAACAAAAGCAAGCAAATTGATCAATCTGAAAACCATCTGCTGCTCCCATGGTGAGGCCAAATTGGAAACGACACGTGCAAACAAACCCAAGAGGCGGCTGCGTCCCACAACCCCCACCCCATCAGCCCAGGATTACTTGCCTCAGACAGAGAGAAACTCCTTTTTGGTCACACCAAAACCACAGAAACTCTCACCTACTCCCTCCAAAGCTCTCAGATCAAACCTGAACCAGAGAAGACCTCCTCACAAGCATGTCAAACATCCTTAGGAATTCAGGAAAACGAAAAATGTTAACAACCATCTTTGTAGCACAGACCAAGGGGGGAGCGGTGATAGCAGCATCTTCCCGCAAGGTTGGAAGGTCAAGAGCTTATGGCACAAATCTAGATTCTTCACATCTACACAGAAAACGTGCTTTCAAGTTTCTGAATATATTTCAAGAAAAAGAAAATTTATCTGAGTACCTACAGAAGCTTTGCCCAGATGAATCACCTGCTAAACAGACAAATAGTAAGACTACTGGGCATAAAATCGCTCAGAAGTGGTTCCCCTGAACCCATCTGAATTCTTACTTTTAAAATTTGCATGTATGTGTGAGATGGGGTGGGTGCAGGGCACAGAGGCAGAAACAGAAATCTTACACCTGCTGACTCACTCTCCCATATGCCCACAACAGCCAGGACCAGGCCACAAAAGTCAGCAACTGGAAGTGCAGAGGCTGAAGCTGAGAGCATCAATAAGCCCATCAGGCCAGAAGGCTGACCCAGCTCTTAGAGCAGCCCTGCTCTGACACTGAAAATACACCAAGGTTCACTCAGAGTCCACACAAACAAGGATTTTCGGCTGAACATCCCCTCCTCTCCGCTGCAACTGACAAAGGATCTCTGGTAAACTTAAGGAAACGCTCACTCCCCTTGGGGTTAACAGCTTAACTGCTCCATAAAATGTGAGGTGGATATGCTTCCCAGCACTAAGAAGGAAGCCTGACAAACCCAAGCTGTATAATCAACGTAACTCACTACAAAACCAGACACTGTCCCAATTTTCTGACTTGGACACACTTGTTTCTGCCAGGAGTGAAAAAGAATGCAAAATTCAAGAAACAACAGGAAAAAAAAAATGCCTGTGTGTTGTGGGCTCCTGGATAAATACATGATCAAAGTTGTTGGCTACCTGAGAATGGCTGTATTGGTGTAGCACACAGTCTCTGGCACTGGCCCATGGCACCATGGCGGACTTGGCCTGGGGTTAGAACAAGGTGTTACAGTAGCAAGTTAAGCCCTAACTGGGACACCCACATCCCAAACAGAGTGCTGCACTCTGAGTCCGAGCCACTCCATTTCTAACTTAGCTTTCTGTTCCAGCATCCTGTGAGGCAACAAGTGACTGCCCTGTGTGGCTTTTACCTGATCCAGTACCAGCTGCTGCAAGTAGGTGAGAAACAGATCAGTGGACAGAACTGCTTCCTCTCTCTGAAGTAGATGCAAGAAATAAATATGTAAAAAGTAAAAGACTTGCAGCCCCCACCCCGCAATGCACTGCTATTGGAAGGTAGTGGACCTGTGACCATGAGTTGTTTAGTTTTGAATTTTTATCTCTTTATGAGACTGGGGTGGGGGTGGGGAGATTGTCCCCACAGGGCTGCTATCCTGGGGCTCATTCTCCAGATAGCCAGGAACCAGCCCTGTCAAAATCAGGAATTCAAAACTCTTGAGTTCCGAGTCTCCCCATGAACAGGTGGGCCCAAGCACGCGGGCCATCAGCACTACCTCCCAGGACACACAGTAGCAAGAAGCTGGAAAGGAACGGAGAGCGTGGAACTCAAAGCAAGCACTGAGACGGAACGGCCGGACCCCACGTGCTGTCCTAAGCACTGCAGCAAACACCTGGCCTTAAACACAACCGCCAACTCCAACATCAGTTCTCGCCTCAGCTTCCCCCACCCTCTTCCCATCACCCTCGCCAGAGGCTCAATCCATTAGGACCATCTGATCTTGGGAGCCTCCCAAACAGTAAGCTGACATGAACCTCTCTTCCTCCTAAGCAGCCTGTCTCCGTTTGTAGTAAAATGCTGAGTAATGCATTACCTGATGAATATACACGGATTGACAGAACCTCAGTCAAGTGATGAGGAACACCAATAAGCCAAAGCAAACGAAATCCAAGAAGACCTACACTGGCTCTAAAGCACAACTCAGGGGAGGGGGACATACATTTTTCCTCGGCACTTGACATAACTAATCCTTTTTTTAGCACATACCAATAATGAGATATTTGATGGGAAGCACAGCGGTCATAGCTTCATGAGGTCTGCAAAGCAGTTCCCTCATTTTTAATTTTTTAGTGAATCAACAAAGTGAACCACAGCTGTCATCCTCTCCTTACAGCCTCCAAAACTGAGAGGAGACCTTTTTTCTGTACAAGGCCTCATTGCCAGTGAGCCCCAGCGATGACGCCAGAGCAGCTCTCACAAGCAAGCCTGAGTAGGACCACCACAGGCACCTCCCTCACAGCCCATCTGAGGAAACCTGCTGCTTCTGTCCTGCCAATCCAGCCCCTCAAACAGCAGCTACTCCCTCCTGCAAGCGCAAATAACCACCCCTGCCACTGCCCAGGGAGCCCAGCAGGGGACACAGACAGCAAGGAACAATCACAAGGAGAAACTCCCACCCAGACTCAGACAAGCATCTTTCACTCAGCCAGACAAGGCCACCAAGTGCCGCCTGCAGGCTACTCAGCTTTCTAACTGCTGGGAAACACAGGGAAACACAGAATCCTGCCCGGGCAGAGCTCATGTGCTGGGGAAAGGAGACGGCTCACAAACAAAATTCATGCAAAATGTTTATTAAGAAAACCACACTAAGATTTTAAAAAATTATATCAAAATAAGCATATGAAATTTCCATTTCCATGAACTTAGAGGTACTTTATGTGTGAGAAGTTCCTAAGTGGAGAGCCAACGGGCTCAGGGAGTGGAGGAGGAGCCAGGTGTAGACTATCAGCAAAGCGAGGTCGAGGTCACTCTGAGCCTGATGAGTCAGAGAGGAAGCCATGAGCACACGAGAGAGACACAGTCCAGCAGAGCCAGAAGCAAGTGCAAACATCTAAAGCGGAGGGCCAAGGGCACTGGGAAGAGGGCAAGTGGCTCGAGTTTAAGGCAGTGAGGGGCAGGGGAGCCCGGGAAGCATCCTGGCAGGCGCTGTAGGCCAATGGAAGGAACTTGGCTCTACTCAAGTCATACCAAAGGCCTGGACGGAGATCTCACCGAGGCAGGATCTCACTGCTGACTACTGAAAGCCACTCAGCTCACTGAGCACCCAAATGGGCTTCAGCACAAAGAATGTCCAGGCAAAAGCAGAGGACACTGGGACGGACCAGCGGCGTGCCGGCCAAGGAGGAGGAGTCAACTTTTCTGTGGGGGTTGTTGGCCTCTTTTCTTTCTGAGAGGCAGACTCAGACAGTCTCAGCTGCTGGCTCACTCCTCAAACTCCTACAGCAGCAGGAGCCGGACAAGACAGACCAGGATCCAGGAACTCAAGCCAGCCTACAAAATGGGTAGTGAGGGACCCAATTACTTGAATCAGCAGCTGCTGCCTCCTAGGGTCTACACTGGCAGGAAGCTCAGGTCAGAAGCCAGAACTGGGACTCACACACACGTACTCAGTGTGAGTCATGGGAGTCCTAAATGATCCTC